CCCCACTCCCCCCCCCACTCCTTGCCCAGCTCCAGTTGGTGCGGATTTCCCAGTGGCTGCAGACTTGCACCCGGCACTCCGCCGTGGCGTTGGGCTTCTCCAGCTGCTCGCACCGTTGCGGGTGCACCATGGTGGTGCGGTTGGCGTAGACCTGCCGGCAGAGGACCTGGCGGTGCTGGCTGCCCAGGCCGCAAGACTTGCTGCAGGCCGACCACTCGCCCACGTCCCAGCTGGAGCAGTCGAGGAGGCAAAAGGGAGAGGGAGTTTTGAGCAGGGCGCCGCCATCCGGGACGTGCTCTTCGCCGGTCTTAGAACAGGAGTTGGACTCAGGATCTGGGTTTGGGTGGGTCACGGTCCCCCAGCACAATCAGGGTCACAGGTCAGGGGTACTCCAAGAGCCTTCCGACCAGTGTTCCCGCTAAGCTGGGTTAGTGTGAGATAGCTCACAGTTTGTTTAGCCTCCGGCCACTGTTCCCTCTAAGCTGAGTTAGTGTGAGCTGGCTCACAGTTTTTTAGCCTCTGGTTCACACATTTTTGTCTCCACTCAGGAAGGAGGGCTCCAGAGCAAGCTAATTTATGCAGCAGGCAAATCGCTTGCTCACAACTTTAATGCCAGTCGCTCACCAAGTAGAATTTTTGCTCACAAGACTCCACAGCTTAGCGGGAACAGGCTTCGGTTCAGCCATTCTTGTCTTTGTTCAGGAAAGGTGGCTCCAAACTTGTGTCCTGACCTAGCCGTGTGCTCAATCTAGTTTCGGCCGGTTCCACATGTGGTCAGGAGAGGTACCTGAGCTTCGCTCCCGAACACAATAGAAGCTCGGATCCTAGTTCCCGGCCAATCGGGAACCTAGGGTCCCCAGGAATAATCTAATCAGTGTAAATCAACTATTCACGGGTGTGTGGGTGTGTTTTCCTTGGGGCATATAAGCCGGCCTGCGAGTCAGCTACTTTGTCTTGTTCTTCTCCGAATAAAGTATGAGAGCTGAATTCACTAAGTAAGTCTCAGTACTTTTCAAAACTAATTTACGCAGTAGCCAAATCGCTCGTTCACAACTTTGATGCCGGTAACTCACAGAGTAGAATTTTTGCTCACAGGACTCCACAGCTCAGAGGGAGCATTGCTTCCAACTGATTTTTGGGCAGTTCCCCAGCTGTGCACCTGTGATGTCCTGACATTAAAGCTGTGAGCGAGTAATTTGGCTACTGCATAAATTAGTTTGCTCTGGAGCCCTCCTTCCTGAGCAGGGACAAAGGTCTGTGAGCCGAAGGCTAAAAAACCGTGAGCTAGCTCACACTAACTCAGCTTAGAGGGAACACTGACCAGGGGCCATCAGGAGGTCCACCTGCGGGGCCAGAACTCCAGAAGCCCTCCCACTGTGGCCCCCCAAGCACCAAGAAGACAGAGCATCACTTGCCCCAGACAGAGTGTTCCATCTATACCTTGTGGCTAAGAGCCACTGATGGACCTCTGCTCCAGATGCTTATCTAACTCCCTTTTGAAGCTGTCCGTGCTTGTAGCTGCCACCACTTCCTGCAGCTGTGAATTCCATGTGCTAATGACACTTAGGGGTGAAGAAGGACTTCACTGTACCTGTTCTAAGCCTACTGCTCACTGATTTCATGGAGGGCCCACGAGTTCTTGTGGTGTGGGATGACCATGACCATGATACGAGCACGGGGACCACCACCATCACCTGGTCACAGCCACAGGTCGAGCACCTGTTTAAGGCGCAGTGGGAGGGTCTGAAGAAACAGCCGGCAAGCCTGCCCCCTCCTCCCCTTTCAGCCCTCCCCTCCATCTCTGGCAGAAGCTGGGACCCAGCAGGGGGAGGGGCCCCGCCCCAAGGAAGACCCGCCGGAGGGGGACCGAGCACTCACTAGGCCGGGCAGGGCTCCGTGTTGCAAGCCTCCTCGGACACGGCCGGCTTGGGGAGGAGGTGGCACATCTCTTCCGCCACCTCTTCTTGCAGAGCACGGGAGGTGCAGCGGTAGACCGACTGCCAAGAACCTGGGTGGAAAGAAGCAAATGCTGAGAACCATAGAAATCCGCATCTCGAAAGCCCCAGATTTTTCAAAAGCGAGTCCCTAGTCCTCATGGATGAAGAAAGAACGAGAAGACACCTCAGGGATAAAATCTGGCCAGTCCTAAACACATGAACACATTCAGAGGCGCCCATTTGTCCCATACGGCCTGTTAAGGCTTCCATAACGATACAGGTGCGAAGTAGATCGACACAGCCAGAAAGTATTTCTTTGTGCGTGTGAAATGCCGTCAAGTTGCTTCCAACTTATGGCAACTGTCATGATCTGGGCTGTGCCACCAGAGGCCTACTAGGCCCAGGGAGCCTGGCTAGCAGTAGGTGAGGCTGGGCCTACAACTCCCAGAAGCCCCCGAGAGGTTTTGGAGCCAAAACTGACCAATAAGAAAAGAGGAGGGCTTGGAATAAAAGATCTGGAGCAGCAGGAAAAGCTGTTCTTCTTCCCAGAGGGCAGAGTCAGAAGGAAGGCTGCTGCAGGGAAGAAACTCCTCCACTTTGCACCTGGCTGGATGGCCTTGGGCAAGCCGTAGTTCTGATAAGAGCTGTCCTTGAAAAGGAGCAGTTTCTGTCAGAGCTCTCTCAGCCCCACCCACCTCACAGGGTGTCTGTTGTGGGGAGGGGAAGGGAAAGGAGTTTGTAAGCCTCTCTGAGACACCTTTGGGTAGTGAAGGGCGGGGTATAAATCCAATCTCTTTTTCTTCTTCTTCTTCTTGATACAGCTTAACTTCTTTTTGACTTTTTTCAAAATTTTACATCTTAACTTCTTTTTTACTTTCTTCAAATTATCTTCTGGTTCCATTTTCAAATTTTTTGCAGCTTAACTTCTTTTTTACTTTCTCCAAATTACCCTGGAACAAACATGGTCATTTAGAACTCTTTCCATTCGTAACATCAAAATCTTGTTGGTCTCTAACGTGCGGCTGGATTCATCTCTGTATATTTTCATGCTACAAACTTTATTCTAAGCCCTCTAAGCAAAAAGGAAAAGGGAGAGCCAGTGTGGTGCAGGGGTTAAGGGTGTTGGATTGGTATCTGGGAGACTTGGGTTTGAATCTCCACTTCTGCCATAGAAGCTGGCTGGGTGCCCCCAAGCCACTCACACTCTCTCAGCCTCACCTACCTCACAGGGTTGTTGTGAGGATAAGATGGAGAGAAGAGAACGACGGAAGCTGCTCTGGGCCGCCAATGAGGGGGGAAGGTGGGGTATAAATGAATTAAATAAATAACAAATAAAAACATTAAATACCCCCTGGACGCACCCTTTCCGCAGGTGGCTGAGCATTCGGTGTTGCCGACTCGTTTCCAGTAGAAGTCACGTGCCAAATCTGAGTTCTGCTGGAGAGGAGGTGGCGGTGGAGGCATTGGTGGGACGCGGACGTTCCGCTGCAGAGTTCCAGGGGTCCTCCCGGACTGGCTGGATGAGACTGGAGGCGGAACTACGGCGTGGCTCCTTCCGGATTGGCTGGATGAGACCGGAGGCGGAACTATGGCATGGCTCATTCCGGATTGGCTGGATGGGATGGGGTGCCGAGCTGGGACAAGGTTCTGTGTCTGCAGCGGCCTCGGGTGCACGTGGGAGGCGGAGGGCTCCATCGGGTGGCCAGCAGATACCATGGCGAGGGCACCTGGAAAGGGAAACGTAGAATCATAAGAGCTGGAAGGGAGCTTCAGGGTCATCTAGTCCAACCCCCTGCACAATGCAGGAAATTCACAAATACCTCCCCCCCCACACACACCCAGTGATTCCTGTTCCATGCCCAGAAGATGACAACAAGAAGAAGAGATTGTATTTATACCCCACCCTTCACTACCCAAAGGAGTCACAGAGCGGCTTACAAACTCGTCTCCCTCCCCCTCCCCACAACAGACACCCTCTGAGGTACGTGGGGCTGAGAGAGCTCTCAAGAGAACTGCTCTTTCAAGGACAGCTCTGACAGAACTATGGCTTGCCCAAGGTCATCCAGCAGCTCCGAGTGGAGGAGTGGGGAATCAAACCCGGTTCTTCCAGATTAGAGTCCGCACACTTCACCACTACACCAAACTGGCTCTACTGGAGGAGTGGGGAATCAAACCCGGTTCTCCCAGATTAGAGTCTGCACACTTAACCACTGCACCAAAAAAACCCCCCAGGATCTCCAGCCAAACTGGCTTGGAGAACAACTGCTTCCTGACCCCAAAGTGGCGATCAGCATTACCCTGGGTGTGTAAGAAAGGGCCACAAGAGCTAAGCACTGAGGCAACCCTTCCTGCCCTCCCTTCTCGTAATCTGCCTAAATTTACACAATCCGCATTGCTGTCATATGATCATCTAGCCTCTGTCTGAAGATCTCCAAAGGATCTCCTCCCGAGGAAGCCTGTTCCACTGAGAAACCGCTCTAACCGTCAGGAAGTTCTTCCTAATGTTTAGCGGATTTTAGATATCACGGGCGAGGGAAGGAATGTCTCCCTGACAAAGTTCGATCCTTTTTGGATCTGAAGCTATGTATTCCTTAAAGATTTGTTAGATGGTTGAAGTTCACGGTACACAAGAATAAAAAACTATGTTATTTAGGCATAAGCATAAGATTGGTTAAAAAAAAAGAAGAAAAAATTATGTAACCCCATTTATGTGTGTATGTTTGTGTGTTTATTTTATGTTTGTATGTGATTTTGTGTTAAAAATCTTAATAAAATTCTGTCCTTGGGGACATATGTGTGTATGTTTCTGTGTTTATTTTATGTTTGTATGTGATTTTGTGTTAAAATCTTAATAAAATTCTGTCCTTTGGGACAGGTTAAAAAAAAAGAAAAGAACATAAGAACATAAGAGACGCCAGTGCTGGATCAGGCCAGTGGCCCATCCAGTCCAACACCCTGTGTCACACAAGGGCCAAAAACACCAGGGGCCATCAGGAGGTCCAGCAGTGGGGCCAGGACACCAGAAGCCCTCCCACTGTTGACCCCCCCCCCAAGCACCAAGAAGACAGAGCATCCCTTGCCCCAGACTGAGAGTCCCTATCTATACCTTGTGGCTAATAGCCACTGATGGACCTCTGCTCCGTATGCTTATCTAATTCCCTTTTGAAGCCGTCCATGCTTGTAGCCACCACCACTTCCTCTGGCAGTGAATTCCGTGTGTTAATCGCTCTTTAGGTGAAGAAGGACTTCCTTTTATCCGTTCTAACCCGACCGCTCACGGCCTAGGAAATTCCGGGAACCGGTCGTGAGAAAAGACTTTGAATCTGTACTAACGTATCCCACGCTCCCTTGGAAGACAGAGTTTCAGGACAGCAGCCGTGTTGGTCGGCAGAAGAAGAGCTACCTTGGAGTGTAGAAGCATCTGAAGAGACTAACACGATTGTCGAAGAATAAGCTTTCGAGAGTCAACGCTTAGTTCATCAGGCGTCTGACGCTCAAAAGCTCATACCCTGAAATTATTGTTGGTCTCTAAGGTGCTGCTGTACTCGAATGCAGCTCCTCAGAAAACAAAGACACCAAGGAAATGTTAATTTTTTAGCAGCATGAAAGAGCACGAGTCCCGTAGCGGCTTAAAGGCGAACTAAATTTGTGGCCGGGGAGGAGCTTTTGTGAGTCTGCGACTCACAAAAGCTCCTCCCCGGCCACAAATTTAGTTCGCCTTTAAGCCGCTACAGGACTCGTGCTCTTTCCTGCTGCTACAGACAAACACGGCCACACACCTCGGTTTAATTTTAAAAATGACAAATGATTTGATTTGTATCATGCTGTTCCTTCCAGAAGCTCAAGGGGGCGCTGGTGCTATTCCCCCATAATATCCTCGCAACAAACCTATGAGGGTGATTACCTTGGGAACCAGCGCAAACTTTGGGGCCGGGTGGAGATCCAAACCCATCTCCCCACACGCCATAACCCCGTTGGCTTTCATTAAATTTCCGGGAAGGAAGAACAGAATATCAAACAGCAAAAAATAGGCCTTGCACCTGGTTTAAACTTGAGCTGCAGACGCACACGGAGACCCCAGAATGATTAAAACGTGGGATTCACTGCCAGAGTATGTAGTGATCCAATGCTCCCTCTAAGCTGCGGAGTCTTGTGAGCAAAAATTCTTGTGGGCACTCCATGAAATTGCTGAGCAGTCGGGTTAGAATAGGTAAAAGGAAGTCCTTCTTCACCCAAAGAGTGATTCACACATGGAATTCCAATTCCAATAACCTTTATTGGCATAACCACATGGAATTCACTGCCACAGGAGGTGGCGGCGGCTACAAGCATGGATGGCTTCAAGAGGGAACTGGATAAACATCTGGAGCAGAGGTCCATCAGTGGCTCTTAGCCACAAGGTATGGATAGGATCCTGCCAACCTAGCAGCTCGAAAGCAAGAAATTGCAAGTAGGTAAATAGGTACGACTTCGGTAGAAAGGTTCCGTGCACCTTGGTGTTTGCAGGGAGGTCAGGGTATAAATTTGATAATAAATAAATAATAAAATAAATAAATAGTCATGCTGACCACATGACCACGGAAATGTCTTTGGACAGTGTTGGCTCTTCGGCTTGGAAACGGAGATGAGCACCGCAACCCTAGAGTCGGATTCGACTGGCTTTCGAGCAAGGGAACCTTTACCTTTACCTTTACTTATGGATAGGAACTCTCGGACTGGGGCAAGTGATGCTCTGTATTCTTGGTGCTTGGGGGGAGGGGGGCAACGGTGGGAGGGCTTCTGGTGTCCTGGACCCACTGCTGGACCTCCTGATGGCACCTGGTGTTTTTGGCCACTGTGTGACAGAGTGTTAGACTCGATGGGCCATTGGCCTGAACCAACATGGGCTTGTCTTATGCTCTCATGTTCTACCATGTGAGCTCCTGGCATTAAAGTTGGGAGCGAGGGATTTGGCTGCTGCAAAAATTAGTTTGCTCTGGGGCCCTCCTTCGTGAGCTAAGACAAAAATGTGTGAGCCGGAGGCTAAAAAACTGTGAGCTAGCTCACACTGACTCAGCTTAGAGGGAACACTGGTGATGGCCACAGGCTCCCCCCCCCTTCAAGTCACAGCTGACTGACGGTGACCACGTGGGGTTTTCAAGTCAAGAGACATTCAGAGGTGGTTTGCCATTTGCTTGCCACTGCGTAACAACCCCAAACGTCTTTGCTGGTCTCCCGTCCAAATACTGACCAGGACCAACACTGCTTAGCTTCCGAGATCAGACTAGCCAGGTCGGAAGTCACAGACACAGACAGCTTTAAACGGGGATTAGACAGATTCAAGGAGGAGAGGTCTATCAGCTGCTAGCCATGGTGTCTAAAGGGAACCTCCATGTTCAGAGGCAGTCAACCTCTGAATCCCAGCGCCAGGAGGCAACAACAGGGGAAGGCCTCGGCCTCTCTGCCCTGTTGCTGGCCCTCCAGAGGAACTGGCTGGCCCCTGTGTGAGACAGGAGGCTGGACTAGGTGGACCCTCCCTGGTCTGACCCAGCAGGGCTCTTCTGATGTTCTTCTCAGGGGAAGGCCTCGGTCTCTGTGCCGTTGTTGGCCCTCCAGAGGACCTGGTTGGCCCCTGTGTGAGACAGGAGGCTGGACTAGATGGACCCTCCCTGGTCTGACCCAGCAGGGCTCTTCTGATGTCCTTCTCAGGGGAAGGCCTCGGCCTCTCTGCCCTGTTGTTGGCCCTCCAGAGGAACTGGTTGGCCCCTGTGTGAGACAGGAGGCTGGACTGGATGGACCCTCACTGGTCTGGCCCAGCAGGGCTGGTGTTCTTCTCAGGGGAAGGCCTCGGCCTCTCTGCCCTGTTGTTGGCCCTCCAGAGGAACTGGTTGAGGCCCCTATGTGAGACAGGAGGCTGGACTGGATGGACCCTCACTGGTCTGACCCAGCAGGGCTCATCTGATGTTCTTAAGCCCAAGAATTCTGCTTTTCTCTGCTCTGGGAAGCAGGAAATGAAATTTCAGGGTCTGCAGCCCGAAACAATTTATCACGGACACCAAATCACTATTGGCCCAACTGCACAAGGTGTCATCACTTCCCAGGTTTGGGATTTGAACTGTGGACTCAGAAACTCCGCAACACATTCATAGGGAGCGATTCCTCACCGAACCCCTGACGAGGGCTGTGGACGTCGGCAGCAGAGCTCTCTGGCCGGTCCAAGGCCACGAAGAATTGGTAGGAGACACCAGGGTTATCTTGCTGGAAGATCATCTGGGGAGGAAGGTGCCGACAGCCAGTGAGTTCGGAACGTCAGCCATAGGAGGAGGAAATAATACACATTGTGCGTTTCAATTCCCTTCCCTCTTCCAGCGCAGACAGACCCTTCCTGAGTAACTCTCTGCTTCCCAATGAGGAAAGGGCTCCGTCTCCCTCCATGACCGGTCTCCTTCCAAGGCAAACGAGAAGCCCCTCCTATCTCTGAGGCTCCGTCCACTGAACCCACACACAAGCCCCTCCCATTCTTGGTTTCCGTCGCCCTCCCCAGTACTGACGGTACCCTGCCTGGATCACACGTGAGCTACCCCACGGAAAGCTGCCTTCTCTTTACCAAGCGAAGGAACTTGTTTGGAAGGACCGGACTTATTTATTTGTTTGTTTGATTTATATCCCGCCCTCCCAAAGGCTCAGGGTGGCTCACATGCACATAACATAAGAACATAAGAGACGCCAATGTTGGATCAGGCCAAAGGCCCATCCAGTCCAACACTCTGTGCCACACAGTGGCCAGAAATACCAGTGCCATCAGGAGGTCCAGCAGTGGGGCCAGGACATTAGAAGCCCTCCCACTGTTGACCCCCCCAAGCGCCAAGAATACAGAGCATCCCTTGCCCCAGAATGAGAGTTCCTATCCATACCTTGTGGCTAATGGTCACTGATGGACCGCTGCTCTTAACATAAGAACATGAGAGAAGCCAATGTTGGATCAGGCCAAAGGCCCATCCAGTCCAACACGCTGTGTCACACAGTGTCCAAAAAATACCAGGTGCCATCAGGAGGTCCAGCAGCGGGGCCAGGACACTAGAAGCCCCCCCACTGTTGCTCCCCCCAAGCACCAAGAAGACAAGAAGCATTAAAGCTGTGAGCGAGCCATTTGACAAATGCATCCATTCGTTGGCTCTGGAGCCCTCCTTCCTGAGCCGAGACAGAAAATGGGTGAGCCGAAGGCTAAAAAAAACCGTGAGCTACCTCACACAGACCCAGCTTAGAGGGAACACTGGTTACAATGCTCCCCCTGAGCTGTGGAGAGGCTTGTGAGCAAAAATGCTACTTGGTGAGCCACTGGCATTACATAGGAACATAAGAACATAAGAGAAGCCAATGTTGGATCAAGCCAAAGGCCCATCCAGTCCAACACTCTGTGTCACAAAGGGGCCAAAAAACCAGGTGCCATCAGGAGGTCCACCAGCGGGGCCCATCCGGAAAAGCACATCCAAGAACAGCTCCTTTTGCCGACTGCTGGAAATGTGGTTTTTCCTCCATCCTCCTTAAGTACCGCTCACAGACGTTCAAGAAGAAGAAGAAGAGGAGAAGAGATTGGGTTTATGCCCTGCCCTTCACTACCCAAAGGTAGTCTCAGAGCGGCTTACAAACTCCTTCCTCTTCCCCTCCCCCCACCAGACATCCTGTGAGGCAGGTGGGGCTGAGAGAGCTCTTGACAGAAATGGCTCTTTTTCAAGGACAGCTCTTGTCAGAACTATGGCTTGCCCAAGGTCATCCAGCCAGGTGCAAGTGGAGGAGTGGGGAATCAAACCCGGTCCTCCCAGGTTAGAGTCTGCGCACTTAACCACTACACCAAACCGGCTCTCAACTAGCATTGCAATATTGAGAATCCTAAACACTGGGGGTGTTTCTTTTCAAATTAAAGGTGAAATTTTCCAGGATGCTGAAGACACATGAACACACATGTAGTTTCCTTGCACTGAATCAGACCCTCGGGGTCCATCAAAGTCAGTATTGTCCACTCAGACTGGCAGCTGCTCCAGGCCGAGGTCTTTCCCATCACCTCCTGCCTGGTCCTTTTTAACTGAAGATGCCGGGGACCAAATCTGGGACCTCCTACATGCAAAGCAGAGGCTCTTCCACTGAGCCACAGTCCCTCTTTACAGCTCTCCAGGGTCTCAGGTGGAGGTCTTTCACAACACCTACTGCCAAACATTTTAACTGGAGATGCTGCCAGGGATTGAACGTGGGACCTTCTGCATGCCAGGCAAAGGCTCTCCCACTGAGCCACTGAGCCACAGCCCATCTTTACAGCTCTCCAGGGTCTCAGGTGGAGGTCTTTCCCATCACCTCCTGCCTGGTCCTTTTTAGCTGGAGATGCCGGGGATTGAACCTGGGACCTCCTGCATGCCAAGCAGAGGCTCCACCACTGAGCCACAGCCCCTCTGTACAGCTCTCCAGGGTCTCAGGCGGAGGTCTTTCCCATCACCTCCTGCCTGGTCCTTTTAACTGGAGATGCCGGGGATTGAACCTGGGACCTCCTGCATGCCAGGCAGAGGCTCTGCCCCTGAGCCACAGCCCCTCTTTATAGCCCTCCAGGGTCTCAGGCGGAGGTCTTTCCCATCACCTCCTGCCTGGTCCTTTTTAACTGGAGATGCTACTGGGGATTGAACCTGGGACCCTTCTGCGTACCAATCAGATGCTCTGCCACTGAGCCACAGTGCCCAGGACGATTCCAGACACGCAGCACGCGCAGAGTGCCGGCTCAGGCCTCGCATTGTCCCCCCCTTGGCTTGTGTACTCACATACACATCTATGGGTTCTGTGGTCGGTCCCTCTGCCGTCAGCGACTCTCCCTCGTGCCTGTCGCTCTCAGGCCGGCTGTACACAAAGACGGTGCCCGCCGCCTCGTAGCGCCCGGGAGGGTTCACAGCCCAGTTTCCATTGATGATGGATTTCCCGCTGCGGATCCGAAGGGCTGGGAAGGGGGTGTAAGAAGGAAAAGCCAGGGCTGAATGGACATGAAGCAGACTTCCATCGGTCCATCAAGGTCAGTATTGTCTACTCAGACTGGCAGCTGCTCTTCGGGGCAGGAGTCTTTGACATCCCCTGTGGCCTGATCCTTTTAACTGGAGAGGCTGGGGGATTGAACCCAGGACCTTCTGCATGCATAGCAGATGCTCACTTGCGGACCAACCAATGTAATCCGCCCTGAGCCTGCTCACGAGGAGGGCAGGGTATAAATTTCATAAAATAAATAAATAAATGCTCGGCCTCTGAGCACCTGTCTATCATCTGTCCATCAAGGTCAGGAAGAAGAAGAAGAGAAGAGATTGGGTTTATCCCCCGCCCTTCACTACCCAAAGGTGTCTCAGAGCGGCTTGCAAACTCCTTTCCCTTTCCCTCCCCACAACAGACACCCTGTGAGGTCGGTGGGGCTGAGAGAGCTCTGACAGAAACGGCCCTTTTTCAAGGACAGCTCTTGTCAGAACTATGGCTTTCCCAAGGTCATCCAGCCAGGTGAAAGTGGAGGAGTGGGGAATCAAACCTGGTTCTCCCAGATTAGAGTCTGCGCACTTAACCACGACACCAAACTGGCTCAGGAAGGAAGGAAGGAAGGAAGGAAGGAAGGAAGGAAGGAAGGAAGGAAGGAAGGAAGGAAGGAAGGAACAACAGACACCCGGTGAGGTAGGTGGGGCTGAGAGAGCTCTTGACAGACACTGCTCTTTTTCAAGGACAGCTCTTCTCAGAACTATGCCTTGCCCAAGGTCATCCAGCAGGTGCAAGTGGAGGAGTGGGGAATCAAACTCGGTTCTCCAAGATTAGACAACAGACACCCTGTGAAGTAGGTGGGGCTGAGAGAGATCTGGCAGAAACGGCTCTTTTTCAAGGACAGCTCTTGTCAGAACTACGGCTTTCCCAAGGCCATCCAGCCAGGTGCAAGTGGAGGAGTGGGGAATCAAACCCGGTTCTCCCAGATTAGAGTCCGCGCACTTCACCACCACACCAAACTGGCTCTAAGGCCTACACTCCAGGATCTCAGGTGGAGGTCTTTCACATCCTCTGCTCCTTGTTTCTTTTAACTGGAAATGCCGGGGATTGAACCTTCAAAGCCCTATACGGCCAGGGGGCAGCACACCTTCAGGACCACCTCTCCCCATATGAACCCTGAGATCTACAAGTCAACATCTCTTAGTAGTCCCCAGCCCCCCAGGGCCTTTTTAGCCCTGGCCCCCACCTGGCGGGATGAGATCAGGGTCCTGCAGGATTTATTACCATTACAATTCCCTCTGGCCGGCCCACCGTCAGTGGCATGGATTCTTAAAGGTAAAGGTTCCCTTGCTCGAAAGCCAGTCGAGTCCGACTCTAGGGTTGCGGTGCTCATCTCCGTTTCAAAGCCAAAGAGCTAGCGCTGTCCGAAGACGTTTCCGTGGTCATGTGGCCGGCATGACTAAACACTAAGGCGCACGGAACGCTGTTACCTTCCCACCGAAGTGGTACCTATTTATCTACTTGCAGTTTCTTGCTTTCGAACTGCTAGGTTGGCAGGAGCTGGAACTAGAGACGGGAGCTCACTCCGTCATGCGGCACACTCGGGTCTCCAACTGCTGAACGACCTTCCGCAGCCTGCAGTTCAGCGTCTTAACCACTTGAGCCACCGCAGCTCCTGGATTCTTAACTCCATCTTAATCGCTAAGACATCTGATCAGGATTGACACAGTATTTTAGGAACTGTGCTATTTTACACTGTTGTTTTAAGTCGTTTTAATTGAATTGATTGTATTGCAGGGAGGGCGGGATACAAGTCCAAATAAATAAATAAAAATAAACCTGAGGCCTTCAGCATGCAAAGCAGAGGCTCTTCTACTCAGCCCCAGCCCCTCCCCATCAATGTTCCCCTCTAAGCTGTGGAGTCTTGTGAGCAAAATTTCTACTTTGTGAGCTGCTGGCATTAGAGTTGTGAGCGAGTGATTTGGCTACTGCATCAATTAGCTTGCTCTGGAGTCATCCTCCCTGGGCTAAGACAAAAATCTGTGAGCTGGAGGCTAAAAAACTGAGAGCTAGCTCACACTGACTCAGTTTAAGAGAGAACGCTGCGAGTCCCAATCCTGGTTCATCTTAAGCCATGTATGCATGCGCGCAAACACGCGCAAACACACACAGCAATGTGCCCCCCCCAACCCGTGCAGAACGCTCTGCCTGCCTTGGGAGCCTCTCTCTCTCTCTCTCTTGACGTTCAGGGCCTCTCCAAGCGGTTTTGCCTCCCGGCCAAGAGGGGTCCTGCCACGTACCCTGAGAAGCCCTCCTCTGGAGGGATATTTATTTAATTTATTAATTTAAAATATTTTTCAGCCACCTTCCTACCTTGTGGAACTCCAGGCAGCTTGCAATGTGAATAAAACAACAATGATTAAGAAAACAAACAAAAGACCGCAGTTAGGCCTGCCAGTTTAAAAAAACAAACAACCCACTACGTTTAAGTCAAATGCATTCCTAAATAAAACTGTCTTCAGCTGCCCCCTGAAGATTGAGGGTAAGACGCTAGACACACCTCCCTGGGGAGGTGGTTCCACGATTGTGAACATAAGAGAAGCCAGTGTTGGATCAGGCCAATGGCCCATCCAGTCCAATGCTCTGGGTCACACAGTGGCCAGAAATACCAGGTGCCATCAGGAGGTCCAGCAGTGGGGCCAGAACTCCAGAAGACCTCCCACTGTTGACCCCACCCCCGGCACCAAGAACACAGAGCATCCCTTGCCCCAGACCGAGAGTTCCTATCCATACCATGTGGCTGATGGACCTCAGCTCTTAACATAAGGATATAAGAGAAGCCCATGTTGGATCAGGCCAATGGCCCATCCAGTCCAATGCTCTGGGTCACACAGTGGCCAGAAATACCAGGTACCATCAGGAGGTCCAGCAGTGGGGCCAGGACACTAGAAGCCCTCCCACTGTTGCCCCCCCCCAAGCACCAAGAAGACAGAGCATCCCTTGCCCCAGACCGAGAGTTCCTATCTATGCCTTGTGGCATCCAATCCCGTCTTAAGAACATAAGAGAAGCCAGTGTTGGATCAGGCCAATGGCCCATCCAGTCCAACACTCGGTGTCACACAGTGGCCAAAAATACCAGGTGCCATCAGGAGGTCCACCAGTGGGGCCAGGACAACACTAGAAGCCCTCCCACTGTTGCCCCCCCCTCCCAGCACCAAGAATACAAGGCATCCCTTGCCCCAGATCCAGAGTCCCTAGCCACTGATGGACCTCTGTTCCATATGCTTATCCAGTTCCCTCTTGAAGTCATCCATGCTTGTAGCCAATGTTCCCTCTAAGCTGTGGAGTCTTGTGAGCAAGAATTCTTCTTTGTGAGCTACTGGCATTAAAGTTGTGAGCGAGCAATTTGGTTGCTGCATAAATTAGTCTGCTATGGAGCCATCCTGCCTGAGCTAAGACAAAAAATGTTTGAGCCGGAGGCTAAAAAACTGTGAGCTAGCTCACACTAACTCAGCTTGGAGGGAACACAGCTTGTAGCCGCCACCACTTCCTGTGGCAGTGAATTCTACGTGTTAATCACTCTTTGGGTGAAGAAGGACTTCCTTTTATCCGTTTTAACTCGACTGCTCAGCAATTTCATTGAGTGCCCACGAGTGCTTGTCTTGTGAGAAAGGGAGAAAAGTACCTCTTTCTCTACCTGCTCTATCCCATGCATAATCTTATAAACCTCAATCATGTCACCTCTCAGACGTCATTTCTCCAAGCTAAAGAGAAACACCACTGAAAACGCCCTCTCTCCTGTGCCCACCAGACGAGCTAGAGACCAACACAGCTACCCTGTATAACCACACTAAACCAGTAGTTGTGGATAAAACACAGGAAGGCTCTCTTCTGCACTTCCTCTCTCGTACACATGCGTGCACAACACACACACACACCCCAGTCCGTACCCAGATAGTTGGGGCTGCGAGTCATCTCCTTGACCTGGATCCGGGTGGCCCCCGCTGGGATCTCCAAGATGCGGTGGTACCCGATGGGCACGTCCGTGTCGCTGAAGTTGCCGACCACCAGCTTGCAAGTGGTGTGGTCGCCCCCACAAACCCCACAGCTGTCCTGCGTGCGGTTCGAACCCAGAACCCCATCACAGCCGGGCGTCTGAGGGGAAAAGAGGAGAGAAACGAGCGAGGGGAGGTGAACCGGGCTGCCTGAGCAATACGCGTGGTGTGGAGAAAGGAGATGGTCTCCATTTTGCCCCCGTCCCCCCACCCACAGCAAGAGTAGTCATTGCAGCAAAGTGGGAAATTGAAGATTGTCCCGCTCTTGAGAACTGGATAGATAAAATGCAAGAGTATGCAGTTATGGCAAAACTGACAAACTTCATTAATCAGAGCTCAAAAGGGCGGGATATAAGTCTAATGAAATAAATAAATAAATAAATAAGATGAATTTGAAAATAACTGGCGAGTTTTCCATGTTTACAATAACCAATCTTTGTAGTTCTGCAGTTGGATGGTTCATATTATATGACAGTTTCAGTATGAAATACTAAAGATGTTTTCTTTTGTAAGATCAGTATTATCACAACAAACTGCGATCTTAAAATGATACACAAATTTTGATGAGGTTATTCATGGTTTATCGTTTAACTGATAAGATCGATAAGATAGGATAAAATCGTAATATATTATGAGAAAATGGTAGAATATTAAGTAGGTTGTTATAGCAGTTTTTTAAAGTTATAATGTTATATAATTTCCCTAACAATTCAAGTATTTGAATCAAGGATTGTTCTTTACAGGGCACAGGAACGGAGTTCCGGCTGGCTCCCAAGTTGGCCACGCCCAGCAGGAACTCGTTAGCACAATAGGCCACACCCAACAGCAGAAACTCATTAGGATTGGCTGCATTAGGGGTGTGTGGCCTAACATGCAAAGGAGCTCCTGCTACAAAAAAAGGCCCTGGGTTTTGACAACAAACAAGGTAAACAGAATAACAAGCAAAAGGTGGGTGTGGCTGGATAACCACACTTCTGGCAACATGTGGGTGTGGCCTAATATGCTAATGAGTCGCTGTCAGGGGTGTGGCCTAATATGCTAATGAGTTTCTGGTGCTGGGTGTGGCCTATTATGCTAATGGGTTCCTGCTGCGCTTTTTCTACAAAAAGAGCCCTGGTTTATATTTGCAAAAAATGCCCTTTATACTACGTTTTGGCTATTTTACCTTTTATTCTTTTCCTTTACCTCTTTTCTTTATTCTGTATCCCTTCGAAAAGTTTAAAATAAAAATTATTTAAAAAATAATAACAACATATTTCTCTCCTTTCCACTAGCGTTTCTCAAACTGTCCTCCCAGGCCTCCTTGAGACCTGACAGCGTCCCAGCCGCCAAGGTTGTTATAGCGATTTTTTAAAGTTATAATGTTATATAATTTCCCTAACAATTCAAGTATTTGAATCAAGGACTGTCCTTTATATTTGCAAAAAATGCCCTTTATACTATGTTTTGGCCATTTTACCTTTTATTCTTTCCCTTTACCTCTTTTCTTTATTCTGTATCCCTTCGAAAAGTTCAAAATAAAAATTATTTAAAAAAAAATAACATAGTCCTCTCCTTCCCACTGGCGTTTCTCAAACGGTCCTCCCATGCCTCCTTGAGACCTGACAGCGTCCCAGCCGCCAAGGCCCCGAGCAACTCACCAGGCACTGCCCAGCGACGCAGATGTCGGAGGAGCCGGCCTCGCACGGTGTCCCGTCCTGCACCTTCTCCGTATGCCGCACGTAGAAACGGTACCCAATGGGGCGGCAGTTCAACTCACAGCGCTGGGCGCCCCGCACTGCAAGGCAACACAGGAGAAACAGGCATCAGCGCTTAGCGGTCAGACCCCTTCCCTCGCTGAGGGGCAGTTCATAGCTAGAGAACCATGAACACCCTTCCTGATACATCACCTCGAATATCATAAGGGCAAGACACTGCCTGGCCCCAAATGACACTAAATGGATGCCAGCCAGAGAGACAAGTCTGGAGATGTCGTTTAGAAGTGTGAGCAAGAACACGAGCTCCTCCCCACCCTGGAGAGACACATAGTTTAAGACAACGGGTCTCCCAAGAAGCTGTTGACTCACCTTGAACTAATCTCATCAACACCCAACCTCACTGCTCTACACCCATTTACCCTAATTAGGTAAAGGTAAAGGTTCCCTTGCTCGAAAGCCAGTCGAATCCGACTCTAGGGTTGCGGTGCTCATCTCCGTTTCAAAGCCAAAGAGCCAGCGCTGTCCGAAGACATTTCCGTGGTCATGTGGCCGGCATGACTAAACACCAAGGCGCACGGAATGCTGTTCCCTTCCCACCGAAGTGATACCTATTTATCTACTTGCAGTTTCTTGCTTTCGAACTGCTAGGTTGGCAGGAGCTGGAACTAGAGATGGGAGCTCACTCCGTCATGCGGCACACTCGGGTCTCCAACTGCTGAACGACCGACCTTCCGCAGCCTGCAGTTCAGCATCTTAACCACTTGAGCCACCTGGTAGCTTTTCCCATCTGGTACTTACAAGGTCCCCAAGCCCCATTTGCACCTGTAGTCCACCTCAGAAAAACCCATTAGGCTACTCCCAAGTCACTCTGCACCTCTTTAAAACCCATCAAGTTATTGTTTTGGGGGCGAATACGTCAGCTTGGAGGACGGCGGAAGACAGGAAGGCCTGGCATGATCTGGTCCATGAGGTCACAGAGTCGGACTCGACTGTGCGACTGAACAACAACAACAAACGTCACCTTGCCCCAGGGAGCATTTTGCCCTGTATCTAGAGTCCGTAGCCACCAGTGCAGTGTGTGTGTGTTTTCTTGGCCACACCCACACTCCGTGTGTTCTCTTCTCTTCGTGAAACACTGGCTGTTTTGCTGCTGCTTCCTGGACCTCTACAAGATTTCGGTAATTATCACCCTTCCCTCAAACGATTCCCGCTCCTCCCTGGTTTTCTCTTAGCTAGCTTGTGTGTGTTTTCATTGTGTTTTATCCTTTTGTTCTCTTTTAATTCATTTCCAGTTAAACTTCTGCCAGGTTTATTTGAGAGTTCTCTTAAAGGGAAAAATCCTCTCATTCTGTCTCCTTTAAGCTAATCCCCCCAACTAATTAGGAGTCCGCCTATTTGGGTAACACAACTTCTGCAACAGGGAAAAGTCACAGAAATGCCCGGGAGCAGGACTTTGAACAGGAACTCACACAGGGGCAAACATGGTCACTCCAGGCAAGCAGGCTGGGAAGCATTTGTGACTTAGAAGAGAGGTGGCTTGTTGGCGGGCCCAAAATGACTCACAGAGTTAGGCAGGATGATAAAGTGGAACTAAAACTCGCTCAAGGGCTTAACCACAATGCTCCACCTCTGCTCTCCCTTTTAACAAATGAGCCCCGTTGCTGTCCCCCCTGCTTATACTTGAGATCTGTGCCTGGGACTCTCTTCCTTTCTCCTTCCACAGTCCAAAATCCGTTATCTTCTTTTCTTCTCCTTTTATCCTGCATCATGAGCAGCTGACCTGTGGAACTCCCTCCCACCAGATATAGAGACGGCCAACAAATTATCTCTTTTTCAAAGTCCAGATTTAATTCACAAACAGCTGTTAACAAATTATTTTGTGCACATTTAATCCGCAAACAGCTGTTAACGAATTATTTCTTTCTCAAAGTCCAGATTTAATTCATAAACAGCTGTTAGGGCTTAGCAGAATACACGAACCACATCTCCCCCCCCCCCGAGTACGATCTTCCAACATGTCCTTCAATGTCCAGGCCTGAGAAGGGACTCGATAAATGTAGGAGGGGAAGCGGTTTCCAGGCACAACAAGAAGAGAACAAAAGAATAATAGAATCATAGAATGTTAAGAGTTGGAAGGGACCTTGCAGGTCATCTAGTCCGACCCCCTGCACTCTGCAGGAGCAAAGGAAATGAAGCACAGAGTGCAAGAAAAGAACGTGGTGAGAGTAGGCCAAGGCAGGATGGTCTAATGGGGTGTAGGCAGGGGTCATTTCATAGAAAAAGAGGTGCAGGAGCTCATTAGCATAACTCATTAGCATAACTCATTTGCATGTGCCACACCCCCTGACATCACCGGAAGTGTCAAAGGCAACACCCACCCCTCAGGCTCTACTGGACTGTTTTGGATTGCTAGCTATTGGCGGGGAGGGGGGACGTGCAGATCTGTCCTCGCAGAGGAGGGAGAGCTTGTACCGGAATAAAACTTGGTCTTAAAGGTGCCACTGGACTGTTTTGGGCCGGGGGGCCGGGGGGGGCTCTGCAACTTACCAGGCTGCTTCTTGCTCTGACTGAGGGCTGCTGGGAGCAGGGGGCGGGGCTTGTTGCATGTGCCTGCCCCATGGGCTCTTTACTGCCGGAGCTCCGCTCCTGTGCGCTCCTGCAGGAAATGACCCCTGGGTGTAGGGATGTTGAATATCGCGTGCTTGGACTGGATGGGCCATTGGCCTGATCCAACATTGGCTTCTCTTATGTTCTTAAAGAATGCTAGAAGCTTGAATCCGGCCTGTCGTAAGCCCCCCACCCCACCCCCCGATCTCCAGATGCAGCCCAAGAAAGGGTTAAGGCTGTGCTTTCCTTCTCCACCCAGCAGAAACTAACCTTCTGGGACGCGGAACGGCCTTTAGCAGCCAAGATGTTTTCACATTTTCCAGAGTTTATTTTAAAAGAAGCTGCCGGCAGAAGATGGGAAGCGGGGGGGGGGGGGGGGGGGTTGGAGGTTTTTGGCCTTCTCCGCGCAGCGTGCAGTCCTCTGGCTCAGCCGCCTAGCATGGCTAAGCGGCTAACCCCGTCCCCGGAGCGCACACCCAACGAGGCCGCCGAGGGAGAGAAACACAAAGAGGGGTCTTGTGCTACGACTCTCCCCCGTGCCCCCCTTTGCGCTGAAAACATAAACATTGGCGGCGGATATAAATAAAGAGAGCAGGCGGAGGGGGAAGAGCAAGAGACGGGCTCAGCGCCGTTTCTCTGGGGAAACCCACCACCACCACCATTGCTCTCACTCATTTACAAGACTTTCAGCTGGGGAGAAGCTCTCTCGTTCTTCGGGGCATCGTCTTTTCCTTCTCAGAGGCAACGAGTTGCAAAAGGATCGGGCCCAGAAGTGCGCTTTCCAAAAAGACAGATCCAGGGGGCAGTGTTCCCTCTTAGCTGAGTTAGTGTGAGCTAGCTCACAGTTTTTTAGCCTCCGGCTCACACATTTTTGTCTCCGCTCGGGAAGGATGGGGCTCCAGAGCAAACTAACTGATGCAGCAGCCAAATCACTCACTCACATCTTTAATGCCAGGAGCTCACAAAGTAGGATTTTTGCTCACAAGACTCTGCAGCTTAGAGGGAACGTTGCCAGGGGGGTCAGCAGTGTGGGTCGGAAGCAGCAGAACAAATTTCGAGCCGAGCGGCACCTTTTAAAACCAGCAAAGTTTTATTTATTTAATTTGCTGCTCAGCCCGTCCATAAGTTTGAACCTTACCTACCGTTCCAACGTATTTGAAAAAGTATTTGAACATAGAATCACAGAAAGTTAGAGTTGGAAGGGGCCTTGCAGGTCATCTAGTCCAGCCCCCTGCACTCTGCAGGAGCACAGCCGAAAGAGAGCCCTACAACATACCCGAAAGAGGGTCGTCCAGCCTCCACTTGAAAACGCCCAGCGAAGGAGCATCCACCACCTCCCCAGGCAGTCTGTTCCACTGCTCGACCACCCTTACAGTCAGGAAGCTTCTCCTGATATTTAGACAGTATATCGACTCCCTTGTCATTCCCACCCATTAGATCTAGTCTTGCAATCCAGAGCAAGAGAGAATGGATCCACTCCATCTTCTACGTGACAGCCCCTCCAATACTTGAAGACTGCAATCATGTCCCCTCTAAGCCTTCTCTTTCCCAGGCTAAACAGACCCAACTCTTTCAGCCTTTCCTCATGAAAGCTCATACCTTGAATAAAACTTTGTTGGTCTTAAAGGTGCCCCCGGACTTTAAATTTGGTGTCATGGTTAAGTGCGCGGACTCTAATCTGGGAGAACCGGGTTTGATTCCCCCACTCCTCCACTCGCAGCTGCTGGATGACCTTGGGCAAACCATAGTTCTGTCAGAGCTGTCCTTGAAAAAGAGCAGTTTCTGTCAGAGCTCTCTCGGCCCCACCTACCTCACAGGGTGTCTGTTCTGGGGAGGGGAAGGGAAAGGAGTTTGTAAGCTGCTCTGAGACTCTGAGTGAAGGGCGGGGTATAAATCCAATCTCTTCTTCTTCTAAATTTGTTCCAAAGAGATAGGTTTGGGTGCTCAAGCATTCCTAGAAGTCATTCTGAAAGCATTCTGCTCCCTCCCTGATCTCAGACTGGGTAAACTGCTTGCAGATATTCTGCAGTGCAGAAAACACTCTGCACATGCTCACAGCTACTGTTGTTATCACAAGGACATACAGTTCTCCCCCCCCCCCCAAGAATGGGAAACAGGTTCCAGAGCAGAGCTCCGGCAGAGGCCTGATAAAATTACACATGAAAATTTCACCCCGCTAGCTGGGAAAAAGGAAGGGTGTAAAGGTTAAATGACGTCTTAGCCCCAGGGCCGAAGGATTAAGCCATCGAAGAGAGGTGCAGGCCTCACCGTCAGACTATCAGACCTGCCCCTGAACCTAGAGGAGCGTGGAAGTGGGTTTCATTCTGGTCTCTTACAGATGGTGGCAGGGCTATTTTTGGGCAGGAATGCACAGGAACGGCCACACCCAACAGCAGAAACTCATTAGGATTGGCTACATTAGGGGTGTGTGGCCTAACATGCAAAGGAGTTCCTGCTACAAACAAAAAGCCCTGGGTTTGGAAAACAAACAAGGTAAACAGAATAAGAAGCCAAAGGTGGGTGTGGCTGGATGACCACACTTCTGGTAACATGGGGGTGCGGCCTAATGTGCTAATGAGCTGTGCTGTCAGGGGTGTGGCCCAATAGGCTAATGAGTTCCTGCTGTTGGGTGTGGCCTATTATGCTAATGAGTTCCTGCTGGGCTTTTTCTACAAAAAGAGCCCTGGATGGCGGAAAGAACAAAGTTAAGAGTCCAGCGGCACCTTTAAGGCCAACATGGTTTTATTCAAGCTGTGAGCTTCCCTGCGCACACTTTGCTTTATTGCTTCAGACCGACAGGGCTGCCCACCTTGATCCATATTTATAGACGGCGGAAAGACACTCTCGACATGCTCAGGAGTCGCCCTCCTGCCCATCATAATTTCACAGACATCAGGGCACTGGAAAGGGTGGCCAGCAGCGTTCCCTCTAAGCTGAGTGAGTGTGAGCTAGCTCACGGTTTTTGAGCCGCCGGCTCCAGAGCACACTAATTGATGCAGCGGCCCGATCGCTCACTCACAACCTTCATGCCAGGAGTAGCTCACAAAGTGGAATTTTTGCTCAGAAGACCCCACAGCTTAGAGGGAGCACTGGTTGCCAGGCAGGGTTGCCAGCAGTCTTCCCTCTAAGCGGAGTCAGTGTGAGCTAGTTCACAGTTTTTTAGCCTGCAGCTGACACTTTTTTGTCCTTAGCTCAGGAAGGCGGGCTCCAGAGCAAACTCGTGTATGCAGCAGCCAAATCGCTTGCTCAAAACTTGAATGTCAGGAGCTCACAAAGCAGAATTTTTGCTCACAAGGCTCCACAGCTTAGAGGCAACATTGGTTGCCAGCTCCGGGTTGGGAAATACCTGGAGATTTGGAGGGTGCAGCCTAGGGAGAGCTGGGCTCGGGGAGGGGAGGGATTTCACTGGGATATAACGGCGCCCACTCTCCAAAGCAGCCATTTTTACCAGGAGAATTGGTCCATCTGGAGATCGATTTTAACAGCGGGAGATCCCCAGGTCCTTCCTGGAGATTGGCAACCCAGGCAGCCAGGGCTCGACCTCTTCTGGGGATCCCCTACTCAGATTATTTGCAAACTGGTCTGTTGAGATCAGGCCCTGGTTTAGGTACCGGCGAAAGATCAGGAGAAACTTCCTAACTGTCAGAGTGGTTGAGCAGTGGGACGGACTGCCTCGGGAGGTGGTGGATGCTCTTCGCTGGACGTTTCCAAGCGGAGGCTGGACGACCAGGGGTCATTTCCTGCAGGAGCGCACAGGAGCAGAGCTCCAGCAGTAAAGAGCCCAGGGGGTGGGCACATGCAACAAGCCCCACCCCCTTCTCCCAGCAGCCCTCAGTCAGAGCAAGAAGCAGCCAGGTGAGTTGTAGAGCATCCCCGGTCCAAAACAGTCCAGTGGCACCTTTAAGACCAAGTTTTATTCAGGCACAAGCTCTCCCTCCTCTGCGAGGACAGATCTGCACGTTCTCCCCCCCCCCATAGCTAGCAATCCAAAACAGTCCAGTGGAGCCTGAGCGGTGGGTGTTGCCTTTTGACACACTTCCGGTGATGCCAGGGAGTGTGGCATATGCAAATAAGTTATGCTAATGAGTTACGCTAATGAGCTCCTGCGCCTCTTTTTCTACGAAATGACCTCTGTAGACGACCATCTTCCGGGTATGTTGTAGGGCTCTCTTTCGGCTCTGCTCCTGCGGAGTGCAGGGGGTCGGACTAGATGACCTGCAAGGTCCCTTCCAGCTCTAACATTCTATGATTCTATAAAAGAGGGGGGGGGGCAGGAGAAAGGGTGCCTTAGTGCGCGTGCAAAGCTCTCCTCCCTTCTCCCACGCTCCTCTTTCGTTTCCGTGTTTTCTCCAGTGTTGAAGGCAGCCAGCGCCGTTTCCTATGCCGTTGAGGCTACAGCCGAGAAGCCGAGGGTGGTTTCCTGGAAAGAGAGCTGACAGCGGCTGATGCCTTCCCCACGGACTGCTGGGAGAAGTCCTCCCTCGCATCCACCCCCTCTCAACCTGGATGGGGGGGGCAAAATAGGCAGCAATGGGGGTTGGGGGTTGGAGACGGGATCTTTGGAAATCCCTAATCGGCCCTTCGCCTTGGCCAGCGCCCCAAGCCAGGAGTACGGCTTCCAAGCGGCCTTGCATCTCTCAGCACAAATAAGATTTTTGGCCTCGGGTCGCGGGGTGACATCACCTCAGGCAGCCGCTCAGACCCTCGGGGAGAAGGAAAAGGGGGCCGGAGGCGACGGCCCTGCCCGTCCTCCCGGAACTGGCCGTCGGAGGTATACTGCTTCTGTATGAGGAGGCTCCATTTCGCTACTACGCTCAAAAAGGTTGTCTCGCAGGGCAGCCACCCGTGTATTTTATGGCAGTGAATTCGTAAGTGAATGACATGAAGGGACGCGGCTTTCGCCTGTCCCAAACATTCTGATCTCGATCCATGGCCAACCCGGAGTATCTTGGGAGATGACACAACTGTCGATACCGGGTAAATTGGTGGAAACCGTTATTAAGGAAAGAATTAGTAGGCACACAGATGAACAAAACCTACTGAGGCAGACTCAGCATGGGTTCTGTAAGGGAAGATCTTGTCTCACTAACCTGTTAGTGCTCTTTGAGGGGGTGAACAAACATGTGGACAAGGGGGACCCAATAGATGTTGTTTACCTTGACTTCCAGAAAGCTTTGGATAAAGTTCCTCATCAAAGGCTCCTAAGTAAGCTCAAAATTCATGGGATAAAAGGACAAGTTCTTTGTGGATCAAAAACTGGCTAATTAATAGAAAACAGAGAGTGAGTATAAATGGGCAATTTTCTCAGTGGAGGGAGGTAAGCAGTGGGGTACCGCAGGGATCAGTACTTGGTCCACTGCTTTTTATCTTGTTCATTAATGATTTGGAGTTGGGAGTAAGCAGTGAAGTGGCTAAATTTGCAGATGATACAAAGTTGTTCAGGGTGGTGAAACCCAGTGAGGATTGTGAGGCACTCCAAGGGGAGCTGTCAAGGATGGGCGAGGGGGCGGCAACATGGCAAATGGGGTTCAATGTGCCAAGTGCGAGGTGTTGCACATTGGAGCCAAAAACCCTAAATATAAATACACATTGATGGGGTCTGAACTGGCAGAGACTGATCAAGAGAGAGATCTTGGAGTTGTAGTAGATAACTCACTGAAAATATCAAGACAGCTTTGGAAAAAGTGCAGAAAAGGGCAACTCGAATGATAAAAGGGTTGGAACACTTTCCCTATGAGGAAAGGTTAAAGCACTTGGGGCTCTTTAGCTTGGAGAAACGACGACTGAGGGGAGACATGATTGAGGTTTACAAGATTATGCATGGGAAAGAACAGGTAGAGAAAGAGGTACTTTTCTCCCTTTCTCACAATACAAGAACTCGTGGGCACTCCATGAAATTGCTGAGCGGTCGGGTTAGAACGGATAAAAGGACGTCCTTTTTCACCCAAAGAGTGATGAACACATGGAATTCACTGTCACAGGAGGTGGTGGCAGCTACAACCACGGACGGCTTCAAAAGGGAATTAGATAGGCATATGGAGCAGAGGTCCATCAGTCGCTATTAGCCACAAGGTATAGATAGGGACTCTGGGGCAAGTGATGCGCTGTCTTCTTGGAGCTTGGGGGGGCAACAGTGGGAGGGCTTCTAGTGTCCTGGCACCACTGCTGGACCTCCTGGGGGCCCCTGGTATTTTTGGCCACTGTGTGACACAGAGTGTTGGACTGGATGGGCCATTGGGCTGATCCAACATTGGCGTCTCTTATGTTCTTATGTTATGTTCTCTGGCAGCGAATTCCCCATTTCAATCACTCCCTGTGTAAAGTAGTATTTCCTTTTGTCCATCCTGAATCTACTGCCCCATCAGCTTCATTGGATGCCCCCGAGTTCTACGCAGCGAGCTCTGAACAGACCCTGTGTGTGGAGCTTCTGTTCCAAACAAGCAATGAATGGGATAATTCAGCTTCCTGACACACAGCTCAGCTTTCCCAAATTTCTAGGCTGCAAAGACGGGCAACCCATTTTCCTCGGAGCAGAACGTTACATAGAACAGACACGGCAACTGGCAGGGCGCCCCGGTCAGCCTGCGGTGGGGTCGGCAGGTGGAATGCACGGCTCCAATACTGCCGGGGCCTGGAGGATAGAGAGCTTGGAAAGAGACTATGGGGAGGCACCTGGAATTCACTGCCACAGGAGGTGGTGGGTGGCTACAAGCCTGGATGGCTTCAAGAGGGAATTAGATAAGCATATGGAGCAGAGGTCCATCAGTGGCTATTAGCCACAAGGGATAGATAGGAACTCTCAGTGTGGGGCAAGTGAGGCTCTGCATTGGGGGGGTGTCAACAGTGGGAGGGCTTCTGGTGTCCTGGCCCCACTGCTGGACCTCCTGAGGGCACCTGGTATTGTTGGCAACTGTGTGACCCAGAGTGTTGGACTGGATGGGCCATTGGCCTGATCCAACACTGGCTTCTCTTATGTTCTTAATTTCTGCCTGCTGAATTTCTCCCGGTCCCCTTGTGGCTCATCGAAAGCACAAAGATCCTTCCTGGAAAAAACAGCTGCCAACCTTCCATCGGAGACGCCGAACACTTACCGTCCCTGAAGGGCTCCCACTGGTAGAAGCGTCCCATGAATTCCTGGTGGTTGTAGGCAGCGCATTGGACAACGCGGGGATCTGGCCGATCGGGTGGGCACGGCTGAGGAAGAGAGGAAGAGACCCTCACGTTATTACCGCCTCTGAGAACGTGACTTCGCTCTGATTACACCCCAGCACGACAGTTGCACAAGCCCACGATTATTTTTTTTAATGAGTTCTATTAAGATTCTTTTTTAACGGAAAGATAAAAACTAAAAAGAAAACCACTGAGGAGCGATGCTCCCTCTAAGCTGTGGAATCCTGTGAGCAAAAATTCTACTTTGTGAGCTACTGGCATTGAAGCTGTGAGCGAGCGATCTGACTACTGCATAAATCGATTTCCTCTGGAGCCCTCCTTCCTGAGCTGAGACAAAAAAAGTGTGAGCCGGAGGCTAAAAAACTGTGAGCTGGCTCACACTGACTCAGCTTAGAGGGAACACTGCTGAAGAGTACAGAAACAGCAAAACAACAGTACACAAACAACCGAAAAAAGAAAAAAGGCAATACGTATATAAAAGAGGTGTCCGGTTTTCTCTATGACAAATACAGGTAAGTTAACACTTACTCCATTGTTCTAAAAAAAGGCTTTCTCCCCCCACATTATCTATCTATTACCCCCCCCTTTAATCATCAAATCCACAAATCATCAGATCATTCGTTTCCATAATGCCAAAAAACAGTCTATAAAGGGTTTCCAATTGTCAATAAAAGGAGAAATTGATTTTTCTCTAATCATAGAATCATAGAATGTTAGAGTTGGAAGGGACCTTGCTGTTCATCTAGTCCAACCCCCTGCACTCTGCAGGAGCACAGCCGAAAGACAGCCCTACAACATACCCGAAAGAGGGTCGTCCAGACTCTGCTTGAAAATGTCCAGAGAAGGAGCATCCACCACCTCCCGAGGCAGACTGTCCCACTGTTCAAAGCAATTTAGCCATCTCTGCAAGCTCTAACAACCCCATCAGCCATTTCTCTATTGTTGGCATTGTCGAACACTTCCATTTTTGAGCGTGTAAGAGTCTCGCTGCCGTTTTCATGTACGCATGCGCTCAATTCTTGCAAATTCCGAAACACCTGCAGCAACTTTAGGCAGGACTGCACGACTGGTTGTCCCCCACCCCAAATGGAGTCCCCACTGGCCACATATGGGGGCCCACGTGGGTCTTGATCACATTTGAAACTGCCTTATACTGGATCGGACCACTGGTCCATCAAGGTCCACACTGCCGACTAAGATCAGTAGTGGCTCTCCAGGGTCACATCACCTACCAGTTGGTCTTTTTAACTGGAGATGCCGGGGATTGAACCTGGGACCTTCTACAGGCCAAGCAGGAACTCCCTACTAAGAAGTAATTCATGGCCTGTTTGTACCACATTTCGGGGGAAACCCAAATTTGCCCCTCAGCTACCAGAAACCTCCTCTCTCAGCTCACCCAGTTCCTCCTCCTCCTTTCCTGGTCTCCCAACCCACCAGAGAGAAAGTCATAGCCCACTTTGAGGTCCTGACCCCCAGCTGGGGAAACTCTGACCTACACTGACATTTAAGAGAGAAGAGTTTGGATTTATACCCCGCCCTTCACTACCCGAAGGAGTCTCAGAGCGGCTTCCAATCTCCTTTCCCTCCCCCTCCCCACAACAGACACCCTGTGAGGTAGGCAGGGCCGAGAGAGCTCTCTTGAGAACTGCCCTTGAGAGAACAGCTCTGAGACAACTTTGACCCAAGGTCACACCAGCAGACGCATGTGGAGGAGAAGTGGGGAATCAAACCCGGTTCTCCCAGATTACAGTCCACGCTCCTAACCACTGCACCAAACTAGTTTAACCTTTGCACACACGCACCATAGCATGTCAGAAGTGGAAGTAGGACACTGCGCCCTCATTCTCATATCTAGAAGGACTACTTGAACCCGCTCCCCTCCCCTCCTCCCCCAGCCCCATCATTTCTTTATCCTCTATTTACAAGGTTCGTACCCCAACTTTCTGCCCCGAGAGAGCCACTGGGGTGGCCGACACATTTAAGCGTGCGAATTACCTTGGAAAGCCACTAAAAACCAACACACAAAGACGTCGTTCAAATGTTGAAACCAAAGCGTACGGTAAGTGCAAAAGGTAAAAAACAGCAGTTAAAACATGGGGGAAGAAGGATGGGTCGTGGAGGGGTTTGGGTGCCACGACCGAGAAGACCCCCTCCCACATTGTCCCCTGCCTGATCTCAAAGGGTGGGGGGACCCGAGGCCGGGCCTCCGTAACACTCGGGCAGGCTCACAAAGTTTTAAGTGGTCCTTCATGCACCAGTCCGACCCCGCTGCTCATTAACTGTATTCATTCACTCTGTCCCGCACTGACATTTTCAGACAATGTTTGTTCTTTTGCTAGACGTGCAATATATAGTAGTAATAAAACTGCTCTGGAAGATCAAGATGTTCCCCAGCATATGCAGGGAGTGACGTGGCAGGCCGCAAACTGCGTTGCCTCTTAATGCTTATATATGAAGCTCCCTGACACTGAATCAGACCCTCGGGGTCCATCAAAGTCAGGATTGACTGCTGAGACTGACAGCAGCTCTCCCGGGTCTCAGGCGGAGGTCTTTCACATCACCTACATCCTGGTACTTTTAACTAGAGATACCGCCGGGGATTGAACCTGGGACCTTCTGCATGCCAAGCAGAGGCTCTGCCACTGAGCTATGGCCTCTCTCCGTGGCTCTCCAGGGTCTCAGGCTGAGGTCTTTCACATCACCCACTGCCTGGTCCTTTCAACTGAAGATGCTTCCGGGGATTGAACCAGGGGCCTTCTGCATGCCAGGCAGAGGCTCTTCCACTGAGCCACAGCCCCTCTTTACAGCTCTCCCGGGTCTCAGGCGGAGGTCTTTCACATCACCTACATCCTGGTACTTTTAACTGGAGATACCGCTGGGGATTGAACCTGGGACCTTCTGCATGCCAAGCAGAGGCTCTGCCACTGAGCCACAGCCCCTCTTTACAGCCCTCCAGGGTCTCAGGCGGAGGGGTCTCTCGCATCGCCTCCTGCCTGGTCCTTTTAACTGGATATGCTGGGGATTGAACCTGGGACCTTCTGCATGCCAAGCAGAGGCTCTGCCACTGAGCCATAGCCCCTCTTTGCAGCCCTTCAGGGTCTCAGGAGGAGGTCTTTCACATGCTCATTATGGTCACCAACCTCTAGGTGGGGCTTAGAGATCTCCCAGAGTTACAACTGATCTACAGATTACAGAGATCAGTTCTCCTGGGAGAAAGGGCAGCTTCCAAGGGGGCGGACCCTAAGGTAGCACATCCCCTCCCTGAGCTCCCAGCCTTCCCCAAACTCTGTCCTCTCCAGGCTCCACTCCCAAATCTCCAGGAATTTCCCAACCCAGAGCTGGCATTCTAATCCTCATGAGCAGCGGCTCCATGTGGGCTGAGCTTCCTGAGGGCAACAGTTGGCCACCGGAGACCCCAGGGAGGAAGCGGATCCCTCGAGGGCACAAGAACATCAAAAGAGCCCTGCTGGATCAGGCCAGTGAGGGTCCACCCAGTCCAGCATCCCGCCTCTCACAGGGGCCACCCAGTTCCTCTGCAGGGCCAGCAACAGGGCAGAGAGGCCGAGGCCTTCCCCTGAGAAGAGCATCAGAAGAGCCCTGCTGGGTCAGACCAGTGAGGGTCCATCCAGTCCAGCCTCCTGTCTCACACTGGGGCCAGGCAGTTCCTCTGGAGGGCCAACAACTGGGCGTAGAGGCTGAGGCCTTCCTCTGAGAAGAACGTCAGAAGAGCCCTGCTGGGTCAGACCAGTGAGGGTCCATCCAGTCCAGCCTCCTGTCTCACACTGGGGCCAGCCAGTTCCTCTGGAGGGCCAGCAACAGGGCAGGGAGGCCGAGGCCTTCCCCTGAGAAGAACATCAGAAGAACCCTGCTGGGTCAGACCAGGGAGGGTCCCTCTAGTCCAGCCTCCCGTCTCACACAGGGGCCAGCCAGTTCCTCTGGAGGGCCAGCAACAGGGCAGAGAGGCCGAGGCCTTCCCCTGAGAAGAACGTCAGAAGAGCCCTGCTGGGTCAGACCAGGGAGGGTCCATCTAGTCCATCATCCCGTCTCACACAGTGACCTCAACCAGTTCCTCTGGAGGGCCAACAACAGGGCAGAGAGGCCGAGGCCTTCCCCTGAGAAGGACATCAGAAGAGCCCAGCTGGGTCAGACCAGTGAGGGTCCCTCTAGTCCAGCACCCTGAGGGGTGGATCAGGCTGAGAGAGAAAGAGACCGGGCCAAGCTCACTAGATAAGGAGGGATACAGCACTTAAACCACTTTCAATAGCACTTCAGTTTGATGGGTCGATGTAGTGCGAGAACAGTCCTCTACAGGGGTCTTGTTGTAGAAAAAGAGCTGCCGGAGCTCATTAGCATAACTCATTAGCATAACTTATTTGCATATGCCACGCCCCCTGACATCACCGGAAGTGACAGAAGGCCACACCCCCTGACATCACCGGAAGTGTGTCAGAAGGCCCGGCTACTTACCCTCCTGCTTCATCCTCATTCCCAAACGGAATGAGGATCGAAGCAGAGGGCGGGGTAAAGAAGGGGGCGGGGCTTCACCACGTGACCGCCCCACCCCCTAGAGGTTCTCTTCCGGAGCTCCGTACCTGAGAGCCCCCCCCCGACTAGAGCCCTGACTCTGCTGCTCCCTCTTGTCCTCACAGCCACAATTACGTCCGTGGGTCTGTCACGCTCTACATCATCAACTTGCACCGGTCCCGGAAGAAAATCAAGCTGGTGGGTACCCTTCGAGACAAACTTGTCCACCAATATGTGTTGCAGCCCTATGGTCAGGAAGGACTGCACTCTAGGTGAGTACTGTTGCCCCTGGTAGGGAACGGGTGATTGCACCGCTTGGAAACAGTGATCATAATGTTGTTGAGTTCATCATTTGTACAAATAGAGAATTGGCCAAAAAGACTCACACAACCATTTTTAACTTTAAAAGGGGTAATTTCTCTGATATGAGGGGACACGTGGGGAGGAAACTGAAAGGAAAAGTAGAAAGGGTCAAAACAATTGGGGAAGCTTGGGATCTA